ATGCAAACTATCACACAATTAGAAAGTCACAAGTTAGGATATGATCACACCGCCAAAGCAAATCCTGAAAAAATTTTAAAACCCAATTTCCCAAATAACTCCAAAACTCACTACCCAAGCATCCATATACCCTAACACCTTATGTCTCCAATGGACCCAAAAGCCATCAACACCTTGTCTCCAATTATAATAACCCTTAATGGAAACTAACCCAAACATAATCGATATTAATCATATAAATCAAATAAAATAACCTAAGCTATGAAATATCTTTCTCGTTCATTACAAACTTTCAAAGCCATTGTCATTGACATGCCCTTAAAATATAAATAACAAATAAAATGAACTAATTAGTGAAATAAAACATTCTAAAAAATATAATTTGCATGCAAATATGCCAAAATTCTATAATCTCTTTTAAATTCCAAATTCTTTGAAAATGAAAAGTTTGCATATGCTCCGATGAGCGCAATAAATATTTTATTCGAGAATGCAACACGGATTGAATAATAAAAGTACTTTTAAAACCCTAACTCCAAAAGACGTGCAAATATGTCAAAATTCACAATCTATTTGAAATCTCAATTTTTTTTTAAAATGAAAAGTTTGCATGTGCTCCGATGAGTGAAAAAAGTATACAAACATGAAATGCAAGAATGTTACATGGATTAAAAAAATTATGAGTTTTAATTTCTCTCTCTGAAAACTATGTAAACACAATATATAAATGTACTGAAATACATGCAAGTGCATTATACGAATGCATCGAAACATGTACCAATACAATCAAAATATGCTAATAAACATGCAAATGCACTAAAAAGTGTGCAAGTGCATCATACAAATGTACTGAAACATGTGCACAATACTTGAAAAGAAATTTTAAATCCCCCCATGTGCTCTGACAAACATGTTAATCATGCAAATAGAAATGTCGTAGAATGCTATGCTGGATCAAAAGTGAGCTAAATTGAAATTCTATTTTTTTATTAAGAACCCGTATGTGCTCTGGTCATTACACTGAACTCCTAAGTCCAAACTTTGAAAATGCTATGCGGGTTAAATATGAACTAAAATTTCAAGTATAATCCTCCTCCTTCAAATGGATTAGAATCGACAGACTTGGATAAGCAAGCGAACATGCAATTTGAAAAACTACTCAGATGTGTAATTTTAAATGCACATTAGGCTTTCAATGCTTTTTTAAACAATATCATCATAAAAATGCAAGCTCTTGATCCCAATGTTCACATGACAATTCACAAAATTGGCAATTAAAACCGGTCTTGTTGGTGAGCAAATAGACTTGACAAGGATTAAATACGAAAAAAAATTACCTAAAAAATTCAATGATAGTCGTGTTGAAAAAGAATCTTAATCGGAGAGAACTTCATCTTTTTAAATGTCTTTAAACTCCTATAAAATATAAATAAATTTAAAATTAACTCACGGTAAGCCCGATAATGACTGCATTGATAGAAAATCTCAATAGAAGCGGACTTCACTAATTTCCAAAAATACCTCCAAATCCCAAATTGATCACTTAGGGCTCAAATTTCAATGAAAATTCAAAAATTGAATACTTAATAAAACATAAAATTTAAAAATATATAAATGAAATTAAATATCAAAAACTTAAAGCAAAAACCCACCTATCCTAAACAACAGTTTGAGTATAAATTTAAGAATAACTTAAGAAAAATATAAAATCTAGAATCACAATAATTGATTTGGTTTACATTACAAAAAAAGTGTTTAAGACACTCAAAGGTCCGGAGAAGTTCATAAAGAAAAGTATGGTGGAGCACTGCTGGGTTTAGAATAATTATGGAGTGACTAAAGAGTTCCTAATTAAGTAGGATTCCATTATGAATCAACATTAAATCTATGTTTATTTCTATTAGTTACAAAAATGCTTGACAAAGATATTCAAAAAGGGGAACTTTAGTTTATGTTATTTGCATATGCCAGCTTTGATAGATAAGACATCTACTGAAATAATTGAAATGCTAAAATACAAGTTGATAAGACTTGATGGAGAAAAAGGATTCATGTAGCCGACCCCTATGTAAAAAGTTATAAGGTAAGCGACTTAATATTAGTATAACAAAAAGAGAAATATTGACATATCATCAATTAATAATTGGAAAATGAAGTAAAGCGTAGAGTATTGTGGATATATTATAAATAAAAATGAGGTCATTTATCAACATATGACATCTAAAGTTAAATTGTTCAAATGAAAAAAGCCTCATAAGTAATGTGCAATGAATGGATATTATGTAGACTTCAAGAAAAGTTTCAGAAGACTCCAATTAAAAAGTGTAGCAAATAAACAAATTAATTAAATGGATGGTGGGTGTAACACCAAGTTAAGATAATGTTATAAGAAGTAGACATGGGTGATTTGGGCTTGTGTAATAGAGGGTATAAGGCGCACCAATAAGGGTAGATAGAACGCATTGAAAAGTCAAATATGATCAAGGGAAATCAAAAGCAATATAACAAGAAACTGAGTAAATAATCTTTGTACAAAAATATATTTAGCAGTTCATGCAACAATACTCAAGAGGAATGAATGGCAAATGAAGAGTAATAAAGCTAACCCCAAAATAGTTTTGACAGGCACACACACATACAAATACAAATGTTTGTGCATAATTACGTAAAACATCAACAATGCTTTTTGAAGTATAAACTAGGAGGTATTTTGCCTACAAAGGAAAAGGTGAATGTAACAAAAAATTACAGTTTGCAACAAATGAAAACAGACAATTAGCAATATGATAAGAAACTTTGAAAAAACAATTTGTACAAAAACAGCTATAACACAAAGTCAAGAGGAATGAATGGCAAATGAGGAGTAATAAAGCTAAGCCCGAAATATTTATGACAGACAAACATATACAAATACAAATAGACGTGCTCAATTAGGGTAAAGCATCAAAAAAGTTTTTTGATGTATAAACTAGGAGGTATTTAGCATACAAAGGAAAAGCGGAATAATGCAATATAAAAATAAGTAAATAAATTACAGTTTACAACAATATAAATAGGCAATTAGAAATAAGGAAAAAAATGAGTAAAAATCATTTGCATAAACATAGATATAAACTTCATGCAACAAAATCCAAGAGGAAAGAATGGCAAATTAGAATTAATAAAGCCAATCCCAAAATAGTTAGAATAGACAAACAATTACAACTAACATTTTTTGGGATTAAATGGGTGGGGGTGTTAATGATTCTTTCTTTCATTTCCCTTTTTTTTTCCTAATTTGTAAAATTCGGCGGAGGGTGATTAAGAGGATATGTTTTTTAGAGGGTGGGGGTGGGGTTGGCAGTTGCCTATTCTCTTATTTTGTCACTACTATAATCACAAAGTTTGCTCTAGAAGTCCGAAAAAAGGCTGAGTTGCTTGGCGAATTTACAAATCAATTAAATGATTAAACAAATAATAATTGCCTGTTGTGTAATTTAAGATCGTGAAAACAGCTCAAATCAGTGCTTTAAAAACCGGACCGGACCGGCCGGTTCAACCATGAACCGGTCACAAGGCCGGTCCGGTTCAGCCCTAAAACCGCTTCTGCAAAGAACCGGACTGAACCGGTCAGAACCGCTGGTTCAACCGGCGAACCGGTGAACCGGTCCGGTTATTTTTGAACCGGCCGGTTCAAATCTCACAAATTTTAAGTATTTTTTTAAATAAATAAATTAATATACATTAAAAACATTTAATTAAAGTTAAATACATTTTATATAATAAGTACTTTTGTCCTCAAAGCATCATGAAACATCTTTACATGACCTCCTCATGTGCTCTCTTTGTGCAAGGAATCTAAATATGCTATATAAACAATGGCAAGAAAGTGTTTCTAAGGGATGTGGGACTAAAGAAAAGAGATGCGGAATGTATGAGTTCATAGCATATATAATGGGTATAAAACCTATTTTTAAACAGATTTTTTAATTAATTATTTTTTATGTGAGTGATAATTATTTATTAGTTAACAATAAAAATTTATTTATTTATACATAATAAAAAATAATTTATCATTAATAATTTTATTTATTTATTAATGATTTTAGATATAAATTTATAAAATAACTTTTGTATACAATATATCATAAACATGTAAAATATATTTAATCATATAATATAAAATAAGAATAATTTATATTAAATTTATAAACTTATGTTAGAATTAAATTTATATTAAATATGTAACATAAATTAATAATAATATATATTAAATTATATGGTTATATATAAATTAAATTTAAAATTTGAAAAATATTCAAATTTAAAATTATCATATTTTTTTGAGTGTAAATTCTTATAATTATGATATTTAATTTTTTTTTACTTTTATGTGAGATTTTAAAATAATTATTTTACTTAATTATATAAGTTTTTATGTTTCATAATTTTTTTTTTTAATTTAATTTTTTATCTCATACTTTGAATGATAACATTATTTTTATGTTAATTGTATTAAATTTAAATAATACTTATTATTTATTACGTCATCCGGTTCGACCCCGGTTAGACAGGTCGAACCGGTCGAACCGTGAACCTCTCCTTGTTCCGGTTCGTTGTTCGGTCCGGTTTTCAAAACCTTGGCTCAAATTATCTTGAAACTCAAACTCACTCACCTCAAAAATATAATCTGTGATTTAACTGAACCTTGTAAGATGCCATTCAGATTTTGGTGAAATACACGAAAGTTTATTCAATAACAAAAATGAAGATGCCAGTATGTATCTGTTCAGTAACTAGAAAGAATAGAATGCAAGTTGATTATTTTTTAAGGTTTGGATTACAAAAAATTAAATATAAGTTGTAGAAACAAATTAAAAAAAAAAACGAGATGGTTTGGGTACGTAAAACTAAATGGAAACACAGGTAGTTTGAAGTAAATCTGAAAGAACATGAAGGCAAAGAGGTAGACTAGAGTTAATGCAATAAAAGAACAAATTTATTGGAAATTATAATAGTACCTCTTCAGCAATACTAATTAAATCTTCAAAGGTCAGTTCTGCTGCATCCCCCGTCATTCCTTGGGATAAAACTTTCACAGAGTTGCTTTTGGCACTTTTTAACTTCATGTGCTGAATATCCATAGACTTTCCACATTCAACATTCTTCACCTCGGGTTTTCTCTTAGTTCCACTAGATTTACAAGTAAAATCTTTAGAACCATCACATTTTTTCGATTTCCTGGTGTTTTTCTTTGAACAGTTTTTTGCAAGGATTTCTTTACCGTCTAAATTTTTTTTCAGTTCAGCTAGTCTCACATCAGCCTCGCTTGACATGGATTCTACCATAGAAACACTACCCTGAGGCGCTGTTTGATTGCCTGATATTGAACATGATTCATCTAAATTTCCCAATTTTTCATTTTTCAAAGTATCACTGCCATGCATCCATGTAGGTAAACGCCGTTTACTTTGTTTATCAGTATCAATAATCACCTCAGTCATGTCTCTTATATAGTTAAAAGAATACCACCTTAGCCTGCAATCGATCATAAGCAAGTCACCTCTTAACCAAGCAAAGAAAACTCATGTGCTTGCAAGAAGCTAAAATGCTGAATTATCATTCCCTACCAACTGCACAACATCTTAAACACCCAAACTCAACCCAAAGAGAGGGCATGTTTGCCAGAAGAACGGTAAGCAAAGCACAGTTAAGAAAGTCTAAATTGAACAGTAAATACCAAGTATAACTTGGCAAGACATTTCATTATGCATAATATTAAACAATAAATGGGTATCAAAACTAAAGATGGTCAGATTACTGTGTGAAAATTTCATTTAAAGTCGCTATTATGTTAACAGGAAAAGCGCCAACACATTGCCCTGGTGTTTATGACAATGAAATGTCTAACTTCTACCGTTATAAAATAAAATATATTTTTTTGTTTAGTTGGAAATATTTGGGGTGTAAAATAAAATGAATGCATGAGTTTTAATTTTTCTAAAGTAAACCCTATGCAAAGTATTTTTTAGAGTTTGAAATATCTCAAAGGGCACACTTTATGCATTTAAAAATAGTATAAATCAAGACTAATCCAAACTTTCTATCTCGTTCATAGTTCCCTAGCACTAATGAAGTCTAACAACACTTCATGTGCACCCTCCTATATGTCCTAACATGCCGCCTCACTACTTTGCCTCCCTAACCTACTGACCACCAATGAATAAAGTCTCCTAACCAAGCTCTAGCCTTGCGACACCAACTCCCTACGAGTTAGACTCCCCATGACACCATGTGAAACTAGAGTTGTGAGGAATAGTGAAGATGACCCATTTCAATTCACCTCTAAAGAAAACCCTAGAATATATCTGCTTTCCAGGTTATATAACTCAATGGCTACTAGGTGATAGGTCATAAAAGGTTGTTTGAATTGTATACTTGCATGTACCTTCATAGATGTTTAGTAGATAATCGAGGGTCATCACAGATTAAGTGATTAGCCATTCCTCGCATAGGAGGAGGTCAGTCATCAAAGCCACTAGTTCTCATCCAAGGCAGGTACCTCATTCATGTTCAACAACCTCAACAACAGGAAAGCGCCTACCCACGAAGCTCTCAGCTCGCCCTGCCGTAACCATTCGACCATAGAGTTAATCGCATCCCTCCCCTAAGGTGATATGAGGCTCTAGCAGAAGTCGTCGGCAACCCCAATATGTCTACCAGTCACAATGCTCCATCAACTCAAACTTGCCGATGAACACGCCCATTAGCACTGGCTTGAACCTACTCGACACTACTGAACTCACCTAGAGACAAACCACCTAGGTCATACATCAATTTTTCTTCTTTTAGCCTGTCATAAGGAGATATGCGTCTAGGGAAGTCTGTATTGAGAGTCATTAAATTAATGTATTTTTTATACTTTTAAAATGTAGTATTCCTTGTAGCCCTTAGATCTATATAAAATAAAGGGTGATGAGGAGCATTTCAAATCTTTTTTATATGATCCTGAATGACTAAAGTTTGAACATGACTATCCGAAGGGACACCATTTTATGTCCATGAATTGGAAAGATTTCTATCACTTCTAGGCTTTAATTTGCAAACTGAATGGACGTGTCCTAATAATAAAGCTTCATAATGAACAAAACGCCCTCAGAAGGTTCTTACAATATTCCTTAACTATACCATTCATAGGGAACAAGCTATTGTTAGGAAACATATGGTTAGTCTGCAAGATCACAACTACAAAAATAAACTTAAACGTCTAAATTTGTCTATAATGCGTCTGAAAGTTCACGACTTGAACAGGAACCCTAAACACCAAAATCTAATCCGCTACATCCCATCATTTTAAGTGAAGTTTAGCGAGAATTACAAGCGATAAGCAAAAGCTCAACTCAAATTAACAAAATCAGGAAGGAATCACAAAATCCCCTTCCACCACAGCCCCACCAAATTGTCAAAATATAAGATATCTAGAATTTTATTCGCCGCCGATCAAAAAAAATAAGATTAGAGACAAAGAGTCAAAGAGGCGTACAAGACTTAAAGCAAGAAATCAGAGAAGATCCCTAATCGGCATCAGGCAATCCAATTATTATCCCTGCTCTCCTTCCACTAGCAGAGACGACGGACAAAACTAGTTTTTTCCGGCCAATTTATAAAAAGAGCAGCTTTTAAACTAAAATAAGTTTAAGTAACAGGTTTAGAGAATAATTTAAAAATAATAAATAAGAAAAACCAATTCACATTTTAGATAAAACGGAAAATTAAATTACATAATCTAAAATGCCTAAAATCATTTAAAAAAAATAGATTTTCGATTTTCCGGTTTCTATTAAAATCTGAAAATAGTTTTTCTTTTTCAAATATTTCAAAAAGAAACCGGAAAAATTAATTCCGATTTCAATCTTTCTTTTTTTAAAAAATAACAATTCATTTTAAGGGTTTCTTAAGAAATAGGAAATAAGAAACAGTATTTGCTTATTTTATAAAAAAAATTATTATAAACTGACTTTTAAACTCAATTTTTACGTTTCTTTTAAACAAAGTTTTATGCTTATTTAAAAAAAATCAATATAATTCGTTATTTTATTAAAATCACGAATTTTTCTGTATTTTTTATTAAATTAATATTTTAAACAATATTCCGATTCCAATTCCGGGTTCTAAATAAAAAAAGAAAAAAAAAATAAAACATGAAAAATCAGTTAAATGTAGAAATTAATGTAATTCACTAATATATAATTAAATAAATGTAGAACTTCACTATTTAATAATTAATTAAAATGTTGATTTAAAAATAATAAAAATACAGAAAAATTCCTGATTTTAATAAAATAATAATTATAATGATTTTTTTTAATAAGCATTGATACGTCATGCAAAAATTATCTTGATTGGGCACGAATCTCGAGGCAAAACTTAGTTGGAAACTTCAAAAATTAATTTCGGAAGCATATGAACTCCGATTTCAGCGATCTTATAGCCAAATTGAGCGTCCGCAACAAGCATAAAAATTAGTTTATAAGAAACCGAAAATTTTAGTTTTTAATAAAATAAACATATACGGTTTCCTAAGAAACCGTGAAATCATTTTCCCATTTTTTAAGAAACTGGAAAATTGATTTCCGATTTTCTTACCAACCATTAAAATTATTTTTTTTTTTAAATGAGAAGGTAAAAATCGGAATTGATTTTTTAGATTTCTTTGAAATCTTTGAATAGAAACCGGAAAATTATTTTGCACATTTTAGAATATGTAATTTAATTTTTAGTTTTCTCTCCTTAAACTTATTTTAGTTTAAAACATGCTTCTTTTTATAAATTGAACATTTTTTTTCAAACTTTAGGGAAGAGGACAATGGCAGCAAAAAACAGGGCATTTTTTTTATAAATTTATATTGTTATTATTATTTTACTGACTAATTAACTAATAATTTTGTGGATATTGTATTCTAAATTTGAATTTTATATTCAACAAAAAAAAATTTGTCCATTATTTAAAAAAAAAAGCTATTTTTAATTTATAAAAGCCATCAAATTGATGTTTTAAATAACCATAAGACAAATTAATTGAACTTATATTATATTTGCTAAAGTTAATACTATACCAACAATTTTAACATGCAACTTGTACTATACCAAACTACATCTCTTCCTCTATCTTGATGCATTTGTCTTCTCTTATGCTGCACAATTACAATGATATCTTTCTCTTATTATTGGATGAAAGTTTGCTTATGGGTGCTACCGACCTTTGCTAGCAGGAAAGTTCGAAGAGAATGGAAAGAAGAATAAAATGATTTGTGGGAAAGTATATCGTTAGCTTAATGGTGTCTTATGAACGTATCAAGTATCTAAAATGTGGCTTTTCATATTTTATTTATAGAGATCTGAGGGACATAAAATGAGCTACATAAAAAAATATATAGAAGTACAATAATAAATGATGTTTAATGCAGACTACCCATGACACTTGTATTGCTTTGATAGGTGATGGGAATGGTGGCTACTTTCTTGTCTAACTTCTCAATCTCATGGCAAGTTCTCTTCTATCGAGTGTTCAATACTTTGGCGATGTTGGCGAGTTCTTGGAGGTGTAGCATCAAAAGTATCAAAAGCATTAGATGAAAGAAAGGGTCCAACCAACCGGGCTCAACACAAAAAAAAATTACAGCTCAGCTAAGTAAACCCACACCAAGAGCATGTTGAAGACCATAAGCTAGAATACTCTTTATATTTTTCAACTTAATTATATACATGAAAATTTAATGCATAATTATAATTATATGTGTGTAAGAGTGAGTACTTGTATTATGGATTTCATATATTAATTTGCTAGTAGTGGCACTAAATTGATTTAATTAAGTGTCTCATACATGGAGTGAGTGATTGACCAAGCCAAGTAGCCAAGGAGGAGTGTATAGGATGGCTAAACATTGGTAGAAGGAGAAGTTATGGTGGTTTTTAGAGTGGGACCCCCTTTCCCTTTCCCTCTTTTCAAATTCAATTTTATTTTATTGTAACTTATATTTAAACATTATTTGCTATGGAATGAAGTGCTTAGATGTTTGTTAATTACGTTGGAGTGAATTTGAAGTGGTGTCTTGGCTTGGTGGTTGACCATAGGAGAGAGTTTTGGTGATCTCTCTCACTTAGTCATCTTTGGTGAGCTGTTTGGGTTTTTTTTTTTTTTTTGGTATAATAAATTATTGCATCTAGTTATGTCTCTCTCCAAATACTTTCTAAAAATATTTTCTCCAAGAAAATCTCAAAATAAAAAATCCCCACTTAAATCCACTCATCGTGGTTACCCAAGCCTTGGCTAAAAAAAGACCTAGTGTAGCTCCAATTTGGAATTTGATGGCCTTAAACACTTCCAAAATTTGTGAGAAACACTAGAGTACATCTAAAAACATCAATCTATCGTTCCTTAATTTTTCCAATTTTTCATGAGTCTAATTCCTTCTATTGAAGCTTAAATCCTAACAAGTCAAATCAGCTAGATTAGGATTTTTGGATTCAACCACTTATAAAATTCTAAAAAATATTTCAACCGCTCTAAAATTTTTGAAAACTTTTAATTCACAACTAGACCTTATTGTATAACTTTTGCAAGGGATTTGAAGGTTATTTGAGTCAGTACTTTAGGATATCTTGTCAATTTAAGTCAGCCTAGTGTTGTCTGAGATTTCAAGCCCAAGCCCTAGGTCAACATTTGTCACACTCCTAACTTGCAATCCACTATCAAAATTACTCCACCAATATATTTCCCACATTTTTAAGACTCTTGTGGAGAGCTACAATGCAATTTAACCCTCACCAAGTTGCCTCTCTCATAGGACACAACCCCAACATCATCTATCGTATCAGAGCAAAATTATGAGTATTGGAAGACTTAAAGGATTTGAAAAAAAATACCTCCAAAATTATTAATTGGGTCATTTGAATTATCTTTAAATCTTATTATAATTTTTAAAATCATAATGTCTCATTTCTAGTATTTTATCTTAATTAAATGATATTATGAAAGAGGTGGTTGACGCACAAAATGAATTTTATAAAAATATTATGAAAGTTATGAATCACAAAAAGGTTCAAGGAATCAAATGTCATGTCAAAATTCATGTAAACTAAATAAAAAAGATATTGATTTTGAACCAAAAGAAATAAATCATAATCCTTAATTGAAGTTGAATTCCCTATTCAAGTTGATATATTTATCATCATCTTAAATCCTCCAATGTTTACAACTATGTCTAGTGGTCATCCACGTACCATTAATTTTCTTAAAATAACACCATGTGGTCGACATGCATATATGATAAAACCAATAATAGTGTTTTTTAGTAAATACTCTCAAGCTAACCCATTTGTAGGACAAAATGAATCTCATTAACATGTGCAACATGATGTCACTCCTACAACTACATATACTCTATGACCATTGAAGCATTCCTATGACACATTTATACATATCTTCAGAGAAGAGTTCTTTGAGGTTAAGGAGAATTGGTGTAACACTATGAGCATCAAAAGTACGAGATGATAGACAAGGTCCAACAAGAAGGCTCAATAGTTAAGCAAAGTTCGCCCATCACCAAGAACATGTTGAAGGCCATAAGCCAGAGAATGTTATTTATATTTTCAACTTAATTATGTGTGTAAAAATTTCATATAGTAAAATAATTATATGTGTATATGACTTAGTACTTATATTGTTGATTTCTTGTGTTAATTGGATGGTAGATGTACTTAATTAAGTTAATTAAGTGCCTCATACATGAAGTGAGTTGTTGTCCACGCATATTAGCAAAGGAAGAGTGTATGGGGCCTGCCAAACATGGAAGGGGGGAGAAGTTAGGATGGTTAATAGTGAAGATAAAATATCATTTCATATTCAATTTTCTATTGGTATAACTTGTATTTAAACATCATATTCTATGGAATAAAGCGTTTAGAAATTTTGTGACTAAAGTTGGAGTGAATTCTAAGTAGTGGCTTGGCTTGGTGGTCGATCATATGAGAGAGTTTTGGTGATCTCTCACACCTCATCATCTTTGGTGAGCTAATTAATTTTATTTTTCTAGTTTTGGTGATCTCTCACACATATATACAACTCTTTTGAAAGGTCACAACTCAATTTAACTCTCACTAAGTTACCTCTCCAATAGACCATACCCCAAACATTTGGAAGGAGTCCTTGAGTACCTTTGATGTAAGGGGTGAGTCCACTTGAGTTGTAAGGATAGTGAACTCCATGGTAAGGAAAGTGTTAGGAGTAAAGAATGTGTTTTCTTGGGATGACCCTTCCCTCATACTAGAATGATATATTTCATTGATGTCTCACCATTCGAGGTGGAAACAAATTACTTTTTACAAGTGTGCTCTCGTAGAAGGGATGTGTCCTCCTAATTTGAGAGGTTCTATGTGAATCCTTGAAACTTCTCTTAGAGGTGACTCCCACATGATTGTTTTTACAAATTTAGTTTGATTCCCATGGTGTATTGTTCATTATAGAGGTCTATGAGGTTTTAGTTTGATTCCCAGTACTCATTTTTATTTATTTTCTTTTTTTTTTCTTTTTTTTTCTTCTACTTTAAGAGAGTATATTTGAATTGATTTCTAATACATGATCATCGCTCCCTTTATAGTAGCCTAAGTTTGGAATAATTAAGGTTTATTTGAAAGGATACATAATGTTATAATTACAAGCTTATAATGAACTTTTTAATTAATCGGAATACTACATCACTAAAATTTAGTCATTCAAACCTAAATTATGTAGTCAAGTGTTTCTAAGTGGTTTTAGAGTTAATTTTAGTAGGAATTATTAGTCTTAATAATTTTAATTAGTTTTGTTAAGATAATTTATTTTTTATTATCTCCCACCTTGTAATGAATGAATCACCATTAATTTTTTTTTTCTTAATTTATTTATTCCAATTTTGTAATTTTAACTTTTAATACAAATAATCTCAAATGAAAGAAATGAACTTTAGGAGCAATTAATATACTTGAGCATGAAATAAATTTGCACTAGCTTTTATTAAATATTGCATTACACTACAAGGAAGTACATAAGAACTCTAACTACATGCATGAAACACAACTAATAAAAGATGATAAAAATAAAATAACAATAAAAAAAAAACAAAAACACTCAATCACTCCTCCTCATCATCATAATCATCTGTTGCTGTTGTTGCTGGTGTTGCTGTTGGTGATTATGGCTATAAGGCTCGTAGATTGGGGTTGTAAGGAACATGGGTTGATATGGATCCTAAAGAAGCTGACAATTCCTAAACATTCAAACCGATGCTTCATTGAACTCATAAGCATATTAGCATTATCGTTCTTGCATGTCTATCATGTAATACATATTGTGGCTCATTCCTTATTACCACTGTCTATTCTCCTAAAAAATAGGTATAAATACCGACAAAATTATCCCTAAGGTCAGCCACATGGTCTTCTAAGGTTCCATGGGCTCTAGACTTGGGTTAACTTGAATTGGGTTGGCTGGTGTTGGACATGCTAGGCTGGCTAGCACCCTCCCCTTCTTCCCAGGTGTTTTCCTTAAAATTTTCTATTTAGCCTTGGTAATAGAAGAAATGGGAAAGAGCTGCTTTTCTCCATGCTCACCTAAAACACCTCCTAGCAAATACAAAGAATAATTCAAAGAAGAGTGCCCATAACCTACAAAGGTAGATCACCTAACCATCTAAAGGAGGGAGTGATGGATAATTTTGCCTAAATCCATTGAGTGACCAACTTGAATATAATAGTTTAGGAGTACTATCCTTGGTCATCTCACTAATATTAATGTTTGGTACAAAATAGGTAGAAATAAAGCAGTGCCAAGCTTTAGACACTCTAGTGAGTGTCGATGCAGGAAAATTAACAATTTTCCCTCCCCTACTCTCCATTCAGCTCCACTACAAGTATTAGACTCTAAGAATCTCTTGGGGGTATACAGGACAGTTGATAAATGTGGTGTAGTCATTAAATTCTAAGTTAGAGGTCCCATAAACACTCTATCAAATGCTATTCACTTCCCTTTCATAAAAGCCCTTTATCCTAAGCTTCCCTTGTATTACCACATAACTTCCAAATAACAAAAACTACATAAGTAGCAAGATCTACACAAAATTTCACCCACCCCTATTTATAATCCTCATTTCTACCATTCCCATAGGACTCCTAATGCCTTTCTCAGGAATAAGCTGCATGTATACAACAGAATTATTTCACCTAAATTTTGTAATGGAGCTCACAAATTGATTTTTGTCGTAGGATGAGGAAGATTACTTCTTTCAAATTGTAACTTTGGGAGCCACTATTCTTTGAAGGATTGAAAGAATAAAACACAGAACAAAGGGAGTAAAGAGTGCAAGAGACCAGGGTGAAAATGAAAGAAAATGGGTAACATTTCTATTTAAAGCTTTGGGTCTTGCAATGCTGAGTGTTGGAGCACTATGGCGCTCAGCTAGTCAAAATGTCATTCTGGTCGAAGGAAGGATAAGCACTATGGCATTGTGGTCAGGTGGCACCATGGTGCCAAGTATTGGAATTTGAAATGATAGAGTAAACAAGAGAAAGTGTGTTCCATAAGGAATTGTCTAATAAATATAATGTATGTAACCAAGTGCTCAAGAATATATGAGATGTTGAATATGCTAAAAGATAAAATTATTCATCTTTACTCTTTATTTATAGGGATCCGAGTGCTATAAAAAAGGCTACATTAGATAAAAAATGTATAAAAATATATGACTTAATGACTCTTAATAGAAATTATCTTAGATACGTGTCACACTCTAGTTGGTTAGAGAGGAGATTACTTTTCCTGGCCTTGATTATTTGTGTTTGGGGTGAGTTCAATAGTGATAAGTATGTATAATCAAGTAGACATAGACAAATCTATTAGTGAGTCTTGAATTAAGATTTCTATGATTGGTCAGTGCTTTGAATTCTTTGTTGACATGTGCTATAGCTTTGTATTAGAAGGCTAATGAGCTTGAGTTGCAGGGAAGGTAAGTATTGTGGTTGGCTGTTTATGATAGGGTGAGTTGAGAACCTCTTGAGTAAGCATTTTTCTGTAGCTGAGGCAGTGAGTATTGTTGATGATACTCCACTATGGATGATGGTGAATAGCTTTGATAACTAGTCCTCCTTAGAAGGCAAGTGGCGAGTTACGTGATCCACAAGAACCCTTTTTTTATTTATGTGGGAGGCATCTACATTCTAAGCTAGATCTCATGATCTTTGGAGTGAGCTCTTTTGTGGACCCTATTGAGTGATAGCTCATTTATGATGACTTGGTGACTACCCGTTGAATACGTAAAAGGCATATACGAGTATATAATTATATCAATAATCATTGAGTTAAAGGTACTTTCAAGTAGTGATCATTCAAATATAGGGTTTATCCAAATGTTTTTAGTGCCAATGAAATTTAATTTTCTTCACATGGTACATGAAAATATTATAATTCTTAATCATTAACTAAATTCAACTACATTACAAATTGTCATGGTTATCTCTAATGAATGTTATAGTAATCAAATATTTGTGGAGCAATGACCATGTTCATCATATTTCTTTTCATCATCACCTTCTTTTACTTTTAAATCAACATATGCTACATCATCAATAGTTGTTGGATTAACTAACTTAATGTAATGCTTATTTACTAACATACTAGGGATGCTTGAGTACCCTTGGCTATAATATCCAATTGAATCCCTTTTCACTATAGTCGACACACAACTATGAGATTAATGTTGAATGCACATTTAAAAATGTTGAAGGAAAATTTCCAAGTAGAAACAAAAGCATTATTCCTATCGGGTTCATATAAAGGTTGAACCTTATTTGGTCTATTTGAAACCCTTTTGAATTAAAATCAATAATGATCAAAAGAGGTAAACCTTGTTTGAACCTTATTAAAACATAAATCTAATGTGTTCAAAATGGTTAGATTCAAATTAGAGTTGGATCAAGTTAAAATGTTGTTCAAATATCTTTCATTTGTTGATCAAGCATGATTCAAACTTGTATCTTTGACGCTATGTTTGATTCTATGTTCATCTTACTATTAAAATGATCTTGACCTTAATTTACATAGCTATATTTTTTCATCATAATTAATATAGATCATATAAATCATTAAAAGAATCACTCCAATCTTAAGCTTATTAAAATTTAAGAATGCTAACCCACAAGTACGAAGTCATTTGATTCAACTACCAACTCACTATATTCTTACCTGTCATAAGAATATTTCTCACAAGAAAATAATGAAAAGAAGCAATGGTTCCATAAAGAAATATAATGTTGCGAATGAGGCTGCTAGGAGCATTATTATTGTGTTTAGAGTAATATGCACTTTGAGAGGAAAATATCTTTTAAGGTTATTTTATGTATACTCGCATATTCCTTCTCAAGTAGGTGGTTAGTAGGTCTCGATATAAAAACTCGCCCTTCAAAGGGGCCTATAGGAGGAACTAGCCTAAGCAATCTAAGGGGAGCGACAATCACTCAGAAGTCGAAAGGAGGATTGCTCTAACCCGATCAACATACATTACTTGCCCAAGCATATCGAAGAACTTGCTCAATACGAGGTGAAATGGAGATTTCTCGTCCAATCAATAGCTCGACACCCACCATGTGCCTGGATTTCATTATCAGTCACTCACTCTCTCCTAGAGCGACCATCTCTCCATCTAAACTTAGATACATAAAATAGCATACTTAGGATCCTCAGCTTGCCCTATCCACATCAACCATAGTTATTTCTCTCAACCATCTTACCTTAATCATCAGTTCCCTCACATCAATATGGTGGCACGTGTCCAGGCAAGTGTGCAACATTATATATATAATATGTATCATGTTCTATTTTCTTACTTTTTCTTTACATAACCTTCCTTATAGCTCTCAAAATGCTATAAATAGGAGTTGATGATAAAGAGTTTGGGGACCTTTTTTGAACCTTTGACTCTTTTACATTTTTACTTTATACCTCTAAGTATTTTTTAACATTTTCTTAGATTCTCTCTCTCTTTCTTCAACTATACTTTCTATTATATATTCTCATACAAATCCTACTCAGATGTTCGCTCAATTAACCTTTTAATTAAATTGGATGTTATCCAAAGATAAAATTGAATTCAACATTGTCATTCTAAGATGACTTTTGAATATACTTGATCGAATAATAATACAAGACATACAACAAAAAAAAAAAATAAATAAATAAAGCTTTTGTCCCATTATGTGGGGTCGGTTATGAATCTTTTTTTCTTCATTATGTCAGGTTAAAAGTCAAATTCTCATTTAAATTATAACCAATTCTTTTTTAAGTCTCAACCTAAAAATATATTTTATAAGACATAAAATTAAATTTTATTCTTTATTTGATTTGATGGCTGAAAAATTAAATTACTATAAATAAAACAGATCCAAAGATACAAGTCGTCTTCCTCCTCACATCTGGTCCCAAGGTTACGGGCTTACGGCCAAGCCAAACTCATCCTTTTTAAGCTTCTTTTAACGTCGACCGTAGGAGAAACAAAACCCTACGCGCTCAGTCTTCTGAACCCAAAGGCCTACTGGTTCTCAACCACCGATTTACATTTTGCGTACCTCTATATAACAATCGCTATTCGCAAACCGTCTATTTCCCTTGTCTGAGGCCGGAGTAGCAGCGTTTACCATGGCAATGTCATCGTCACCGACTGCTTCGGAGTCCGCGGCGGCGGACGGGCCTGTGCTGAGTCTGATGAGCAAGCGTCTTCGAGCTCTGCGCAAGAAATACAACCGAATCCTTCATATGGAAGCCAGCATCGCACAAGGAAAAACCCTAAATAAGGAGCAGGAAGAAGTTCTTCGCTCCAAGCCTGGTGTCATTGCCCTCATTGACGAGTACGAGAAGCTACGGTCGCCACTTGCCGCCGCCGTGCAGGAGGAGATTGCCCGCGCTGCTTTTTCCTTCTCGTCAGATAACCACAGACATACGCCGGAAGCGGCAGATGAGTCTTCTTTGTTGGCCGATTCATCTATGAAGGACTTGCTAGCGCTGCTTTATTTTGGATGCCTTTTCGATGTAAAGCCCCAGAGTGATTTCGCTTCGACCATGCTGACTAGGACTCACGAACGTGGATGCTGCCTAACATATGATTATGTCACTGATGATGCTACGGAGCTGCTTGGGGAGAAAGACCTTGACATGATCTCTGCCCTGGCCGGACTAGTTACATCCAGGCCTCTTTATTCTGGGATCTCTCACAGGAGCGCATTACAGGGCTGCCTTCAGCACGCCAAACTCTGGTTACAGGGAGCCCATCAACCCATTGTTGTGGGATCCTCTGTTACCTGTACGTGTCTATCATCTTACCCTAGTTGGTTTTTTTCTTTGTCTCCGTCTAACTGTTATTATTTTATAGATGATTCCCTGAGGGTGAAGCTGAACAAGATTCTTGATTCGGATTACTATACTACAACACCGGAGATGAAAGCTCCAGTTGATGTTGCTGCTGCCGTTGGCAAGTACAATGCTGCATGTCAGGTGCAAGTTTCAGAGGCCAATGAGGAGCCTGCACGAGATGCACCCAGTGATGATGTGCTGATACATTATCATCAACAGGTTAATTAGCTGCTGGAAACTGTTTTTTTATTGAAGTATCTCCTTAGTTATGCTTTATTTTGCCTTTTGGTTTGTATTATCTTCTGCATTGTTAGGTTGAATTGAAATTCCTTGATACAGTTTAATGAAATTTGACTTGTAGAATTATGACACCTTGAATCCAAAAAGGACAATAAATGATTGTTCGGGCTGAGGCCCGGATATGGTGCGGCTCTTGGAAGAGCTGGAGTTTAAAGACAACAGCTGAAGTCTGTTGTCCTTGTAACCTTTCATTAGAAGTCTTGGCAGAGGTGATCAATTTGAGCACTAACATAGGCGTGATATACTTGGACATTCCGCAGTGGATTGGACACTGGAGTGCTGTTTAGTAAAACAACTCTCCCTAGGAATGACCCTAATCGTTGTGTTAATGCTTATAATTATGATGAATTCTACGTAGAAATGGTAGGATTCCTGCTTTCCAAGTAGCAAGCTTTTATTCTTTGTTTGTCATATTTATGAAATCTATTTTACTATTTCTCTTTCCTTATAATGGAGATTTGATGGTAGTGAGGCCTTCAATGCTTTATGGTGCTGAATGTTGGCCATTAAAAGAGAAGCATAATACTAAGTTAAGTGTGGCAGAGATGAGGATGCTCAGATGGATGAGTGGCTTTACCCTTAGAGATAGGATACGAAATGAGCATATACGTGAAAAGGTTAAAGTAGCTTCAGTAGAAGATAAGATTAGAGAGAGCCGCCTTAGATGGTTTGGTCACATAAAACGGCGGCCTTTCAATGACCCGGTTAGGAGCGTAGAGTTATTAGATTTGACTTATCTTAAGAGAGGTAGAGACAAACCTAAAAAGACTTGGTTAGAAAATATTAGGAATGACCTTTTTTATTAGATTTAAATGAGAATTTGACATTTAATAGGACACAATGGGGAAAAAGGATTCATGTAGCCGACCCCACGTAGTGGGATAAAGGCTCGATGTTGTTATTGTTGTTGTATAATTGAGATTTGAGACTCCATTGTAGTTGGTAATTCCAAGCTGATATCTTAAAAGCAATGTACATATTATTAGCAAAATTTCCTTGCATAAAAATGTTGACCAAGCATGATGACTCACCTACTCTTTGATTGTGTGTAATATACAGAATCCAATATCCTCTATTTTAAAGAGCTATTGAACTCCTAATTGAACTTGTTTAGGCCTTCTACTTCTATCGAGTGTTACTTCTCATCCATCTACTGTATATTCTTGTTTGTCTTCCTATGCATATGAATATTTATGCTTTTATAATTGTTGATCTAAGTGAATGGGTTGTGCGCAATTACATCAAATCCTCATTACATATGTATGCATGCATGCAAGTATGAATTTGCTAATTGTTTTAAACTTTGCTATTGATATTGGTTTTTCTAAATTTATATGTTGTTTCTTTTATGAATTTGATGAAATGTGTTATTTTTCTAAGTAATAACAAGCTTAACTATCTATCAAAAAAATATCTTTTTGTGAAATTTACAGCTTTTTTTGTCATTTTGGTAATGCCTATGCTTGAATTTTTCTATTTTATTGGCAGAAAATGGTCATTATTCTCCTAAATTTTGTATTCATTTCATGTCATTATATGGTCATTGAACATAATACCACTATTTTAATTTTAATGTATGATACAGAAACTTCATACAAATCTAGTTTCTTCAATTCACACAATGATTTATTGTCGATTTTATTCACCATTTTCAAGAGTTTGTATACTGATGTTTAGTACCTCTGCAACACATTGTTTATCTTCTAGCTTTATTTTTTCTTCTTGCAATTTTTATTTGCCTTTGCTAGTTAAACAAACATCAGACTGTAATTGTAAATGGAGTAATATTGCCATAAGTTATGGTGCAGTCGGGGTAATGGATGTGAACTGGGTTTCACCACCATTAATTTTCCAATAGCCTTTGAATCTGGTAATCTTTAGCTTTCAACCATCTATCCATGGGCTGAACATTGCCATCTTTGTCATTATTTGAATCATGATGATGATATGATGATAATGGTGGTGATGGTGATGGTGATGATGATGGATTATCATGCTACTACCAACCATTTACTTTTTCTCTATTTAGCTTGCTGTTCTTTATCGTTGAGAGTTGCATTGTTGTTAATTTTTGGCTTAAATAAATATTTTTGAATGACTTATCCATGTTCTAGCCTTTTTAGCTTTTTGAAACTTTTCCAGAGATTCTCATTCTTTTTTTTACTGCATTGTCCTCGGTAAACCTGGCCTCACATTTGAATGTAGTAGAGTTGTCTTGCACTTTATCTCTATAAAATTTTCATTCATTCATCTCAAACTTTTCAACTCCCATGGTTGTTTCTTTTGACCATGATTCTAAACCTTATTGCTTTGCTGGTTTTCTTTAATTCTATTTTTTAGTTCTGTTGGTCGAACATTTAATTGACCTAAAGCAACTCAAGTCATCCTAGTGTTAGGTGATCCTTACATATATTCATATTCTTGCAATGTTATTTTATTATTTAAGTTCCTGTAATGGAAATCTTTGGTGATTCTCTAGTTACTGATTTCTATTCTACATGATGCTTTGTTTTTTTCCTTTGTGAGCATCAGTTACGTATGTACTAGTGGATTAGATATATATTTTTTATAGGAAAACAACACTTTTATTATAATTACATATTTAAATATGCTACTCTTTATTTGTTTGACATTGGCATGAGAGTATATTCAGTTGGTTTTTGGAAGACCAGGTTTTGAGATATTATTCGATGGCTGAAAAGTCACTTTGACTCACACTAACATGCACCATTTAAATAACACGGCTGTTATGGTTGAGTATGCTATACATATTGCAGATGTATAAAATTATTTATGAGTTTCCAAGGAAGCCATTACAAAGTCATGGCATCAAGTCGCTACCAGTCAACTTTTATAAAACCTTATTGATCCTTCATAGGAATTATGGAGTTGCGTTCTGCAATGGCGAGTGCTAAGACTACTTATATATAACAGAAAGTTGTGTATATAGGCATATATCCATTGATTCACTTGGCATTTCATGATCCAAAGCACGCATAATAAGTACATTTTATCTCTCTTTTCCTTATCCTAAAGTCTCAGTTAGGAGAGGGAATACTCCAAAATGAGGGTGCGGATGGGAAGGCATGTGTCTACTTTTTTACTTGTCATTCCATGATCCAAAACATATGTTACAACAACAACAACATCAAAACTTTATCCCACTTAATTATTAAGGGATTTATATCATGATTATTTGACAAGTTTAATGCTGGTTGTCGACTATCTAACGTTACTTTCTATTTTTTCTAATCCCGGGCTTGAGACATGACAATGATAGTGTTCTCCTCTTTATTATCTCTCTGTTCGCTGATCCAAAACATACATTAATGTGAACAAGAAACACAAAATGGGTACATTATCTCTCTGTTCTCCTCTGTATTCTATAGCCTTGGTCAGGTGGAACATACCGACTTGCTTCACATGTTCAGATTAGGATTATCTTGCAAAATTGTAGAAATGAAAGTCTATCTTAGAATTTATTCATGTTCTTCTACCATTATTAAATAAATGAACTGTATTTACACGAAATACCATCTTGCATTATGCTGGGGATAAACATCTCAAGCTCTTCAGTTTATTTTTTTAATTTTTTTATTGACATTTGGGTCAACAAAGTGGAACTTTCTAATGTTCTAAATTGGTATTGGAACATAGATGGTACCATTCTACCACTTTTATGAAATCTGGATCCTATCAAATTCAATTCCTAGAAATTCTAGAATCTCTAGTTAAAAGAGGGCTTACAAAGTTTGATCGATTTTCATTTTTTGTTAACAAGTGGGATGATAAGATTAGTGCTTATGTATTCAGAAATAATTTCCACTAGATCTTCATTCTTCATGCAGCTTATGTTGTCACCAGTTTGATCAAAATTAAATCTTTCTTTATCAACTTCTATTCCAAGAAATTCTAGAAACTCTTGTCAAAAGAGGGTGACTGAAGTTTCATGGATTTTCTATTTTATTTAACAAGTGGTATGATAAAATAGGTGCTTCTATCTCTAGACATAATGTTGTGATTAGTGGACTTCCTTTTTGTTATCAGAATTGAGTAGCTTTTGGAATTCATCACTTTGTTTATACTCCTAATTTATATCTTCTGGGTTCACCAACTAAGAAAGATTATTATGTTAACATGATTTAGATCCTTCGTTGCTCTTTTGTAACAACACCAGTCAACCCCCATAAGATCTGTTAGTTTCAAAAGTTTATCATTTGATGGAGGAAGATGAAGTCCTTTTTGGTAAATCACTTCCATATCTGGTCATTTATTTGCAGCCATTCATCCATTCAATTTAAATTTGAATTCCCCCTCTTATTTTTTAGGTGAATAATGAAATTTCCTAGCTTCCTCTACTGAACAATAAAGGGAAGAGACAGTTTTGGAAACTATATGCTTTAATTAATCAGAATAATCAGAAAAATGCAATTGTATTCTGATTATATTGCCATTTTTAATTCCAATCTTACCCATACCAACAAAAATAATATCTTCTGGTTTCAAAATATTTGCTTCAACATGGAGGGGTTCAAGGATATGGTTGCTGATTGATGTTGGAGTTCCCATACTCAAAGCGATGGTTTGAATGGTAATAAAGTTGTGGGTCATTAGAAGTCATCTTTGTCAACAACAATATTAACAACATCAAGCCTTTATCCCACCATTGTTTAAAATTGCGCAATATAAGGCTCGTCTTGAGGTCCGCCTCAACGCAATTCCAGTGAAAAATGTCTCGAGGCTTACTCCTCGAGCTTTTTTATGAGATTATAGCATTGCATATATATACTTACGATTGATTCATCCAAGAGAGAAAATGATGACATATGATTGGTACCTTTCAAGAACAAGGGCTTCTTTGGATTGCAACAAGCAAAATATAGTTTCAAAGCGATCTCCAAATAATTTGATTGTTTATT